TTTTTGCAATAACTTTTTTGTTTATTAACCGATTTTAATTTAACCAGTCTCATTTTGTAGATAATTTTACTCCCTATAAGCTGTCTGTGAGTCACTTTTCGCTAAAATTGATGGTTTTCCCTGCAAAGTGAAAAAACTGTTTTCTTCACTTATTTGTTTAAATAGAAAAGTTAGCTAATAAAAGTTTTTGACTCACGAGACGAGAGATGTCTTGTGTTATGTTCCTTTAGACAATTTTACAATAATCTAGCGGATAGGACTTTTTTCGAGTAAAAATTTAATTAGCTTGGTCTAGTTGCCGATAACTTATGGATTTGAAAATTTTTTCCAGCTTAGAACTCGGAAAAACAAAGTCGCTGGATTAAAGATTATTGCTAAATTGTTTATAAATTAACGGTAAATGCTGAGAAACTTTGACCGCTTATATCACGAGAACCAATAAACGGAATTTAACTTTTAAAAAAAAAGAAGCGTCTTTCCGAGTACTTTAAAATTCCAGTTTTTGAAAAAAACTAAATTGCAAATTGATAAATGTAATCTAATCGTTTAAAAATAAAAAAAAGAGTGTTAACTTTAAAAATTTACTGTGACTGATTTCAATTTTTCAAAAACCATTTGAAAGGTTGAGCGGTCGTTTCTATGTGAAAAAATTTTCAAGTATCTAGATGCTTTATTTGAGGCTGTGCAACATTTTGAAAATTCGAAATTTTTTTTTCCAAAATTTTTTTCAAAAAATTGTTTTGCGAAAACTATCTAACCGATTCTAATGAAATTTGATGTGTTGTTTTATTATACTCTATAGTTTTTTTTACCAAAATTAGAATGCCCTCGGAGCAATTAAAATATTTAAAAAAATTATCCAAAAAAACTTGATTATTTTGCCTTTTTTCATCAATAATTGCTATTTTGCAACATCGGTAATAAATTTAAACATTTTTAATTTATAGTATATTGTGCTAAGTTAAATTCTAAAGCTTTTTTCCTCTTCAATATTCTTCCAAAATGAATAGGTTCCAAGATATCAGTAAAAAACTCGGCTAAAATAGAAATTTTTTAAAATTTTTTAAACATTTTTGCAATTTAGAAAGTGTTCCGGACCTCGCCCAGATCTAGAGATCTAAACTTTTATTATGTGAGTTGTACTGAAGGTAATGCAGCAAAAATTAGCTTGCCCCCTCTTACTTCCAAGATGTGGGATATTTCGACAAATCCGCCCTGATCTAATCCTGCTGTTTGTAATTTTGAAAAATGACTATAAGCTATTTACATACATTTAAATTCACTCTTTATGTAAATGTTGAGGAAAATAGTGCGTAAATTTTGAGTGAAATTTAGACGAAAAAATAAAAATAGTCTTATTTTTGTTCTCTAGAGAGAAAAAATGTCATTTTATAGAAACAACCACAAATTTAACTTTAATTTCCCGCATACAGTTTAAATGTTATAAAAAAATTTATATATACTTACTTGGTCTGTCAAAATCCTTCAGAAATTTCGTATTTGTTTTCTGTTTACAGACACATGAAATATCTAGAGATCCACCAGTTTTTCGCTATTTATATCTTTTTATTTGCACGACGTATTAGATAAAAGGTAGATAACCTGATATTATTGATTATTGGTGATTTCCTGGAATTTATATTTGCACATCGATATGGTTCACAAAATAACACATCTTTTCCGATATAGAAAAAGTTTGTCTCTTAATTCCACTGTCAAGCTTCTACATGGTGTTAATCGATTAGAAAAGTTCCAACGAATTCAGCGGATTGGAGGTGATCTGTAGACAGTTATTTTTTTTTAATCATCTAAACACATTCGACGACATAACCGGAATTTACGGAATAATAGACATTTAGGTATACAGGGTGGTCCGAATTTTAACAGGAAACTTCGTGGGTAGATGGATCTCTTTAAAATAATATGTGTTTGCCTTATAAACATAGGTCTGGAACGGCCCCGTTTTAGAGATACAGGGTGTTGAGGTTTAAAAAAAATGATTTTTTTGTTTATATCGCACACTACCTCACAGGTGGTGTAGAAAGGAGTGTAAATAATTTTGTTGATGTGCTTACAAATTGCACTTACTTTTAAACATAAACAAATATTCTTGTAATATTATCGTTAGAAGTGTCTGCCACAAGGGGATTGTATTGGTATGAATAACTTGAGAACGGC